CAGGAACAGGTTATTTGTGAGCAGCCAAACTTAGCTGCCCTCCTGCAGCTTTGAATCTCATGCTTGGATCATGTCATTTCCAGATCTGTGTGAGCTCTGGCAGAAGCTTTTCCCAAGGTCAGGGTACTTGGGGTCACTCCCATGTTGTTTATACACTTTTGAATATTCCAGCTCTTAAGGTTCACGCTGCAGATTCTTTCTCAGGGACAACACCATCTTGGAGCTTCTTTCCTACATGGTCAGAAGTTTCCACAAAACCTATAGGACCGTAGTGGTCTGTGACTGCAAACCTCAGTCAAGCATGGTCGATTTTAGCCAAGAGGTTCCAAAGGCTCAAGAAGGACAGAAAATGACAGGGGATACACACACATTTGCTGAAGTCTTATTTCCATCGGGAACATGACTCAAAAGCTATTTCTGTGGAAACATTTTTGAGTCTTCCTGAGGACCAACCCCTTCAGATTCTTTTAATCTCTCATAAGTAACTAAGAAAAGCATCAAGATGTCTTCTTCAAGAGAAAGAATTTAGTATAACCCAGCATCGAGTCCTGGAAATCTAGTTCTGAAGGACTCTGGTTTTGACCACTGTGCAGGAGGCCACTTGCTTACCGTGTGGGAACCAGAACACCCAGGGGGTAACATCCATCTGACACAGCTTTAAACCACCAGAAAACTACCCCATCCAACACCTGAACATGAACTTCCCACAGACAGGAGAAGGTCAGGGTACATACAGCATAAAGTCTGATATCTGAGGGTTCTTATTCTCACAGCATAACAGCAGCAGCAATAAATCTGAAGTAAAGGGCTTAGAGAAGTCAATAGCTAAGCTCTTAGCTCGTATTTAGAGAGATCTCAACAGGGATTAAACGAGAAAAAAGGGAGCTTAAAAAAGTTGAAGAGTCATCATAAGATGAGGGCTGACACGAACTCTTCAATATTAAAAAAATCTATTTGAGGAACTGCTTTGAGCTTCTCCCTGAGATAGGTCAGAGCACAAAAAAACAAACCAGGTTCTTTCCACTTCGAATAAAACCAAATTCAAAGATCCAGCACTGTCAACAATGCTAGATAACAGACAATAATTGCATACTTAACTTAAATTGTAGCTTCACACTCTTATTTCTGCTAAACTCATACATATGAAGTATCCTTTTCATCAAAAGCACTTTGTCCCCAAAACTAATTTCAGTTTAGCAATGGAGACACCCATTGTGCAGAAATCACCTACAAAAATGCCTGAACTCCATGACTCTACGAAAAATGCTCATATGCTGAAAATACTGTCAGCTGATCAGGCAGATCATTCACATTAGAAAACAGTAAAACACAAAAATAGTTAATACAATAGTCTTTTTTAAGAAGTAAGGTACCTGGAAACTTGTTGACTTGACCTGAGAATATATCATTATCATGAAATGATACCCCGTGCCAATAGATATCGCAGGGCAAGCGTCTGCCAAAAGGAAACTGGAAGAGAGACAGGAGACAAGTTTTGAAGCAACCTGGAAATACTGATTCATTCCTTTCTTTTCTAAATGCTCATATCAAGCATAAACAATGCAAGAAAAGCCTTCCGACTGTCAAAAGAAAACATGCTGTATGTTTTGTTTGCAGAACTAGAAGTATTTTCATCAGTTCAAGACTCTATCAAGTTCAAGATGTCAAGAAGCCATGAAAGGTTTCTGGAAACTGAAAACAAATGACTGAGAGGCATGTTCTGTACTGAAAACTCCGAGCTTGTTATCAACCACAATTAAGGCATGACTCATTTGTAATTTAAAATGCTATTACAGGGAATAAAATTTCATTAGGAAGCACTTAATTCTGGCACAGCAACAGCAAGTGCTACAGCTGGGAAGTAAACAAACTCTGACAAGGTTATACATTGGGGTTATTTTCCTCCCCAGTTTAAGGGGTGATGAGCAACCATCAAGGGAACAAAGCACTAGAGGTCTTGGAGGAGTTGTCATTACTGACAGCTAGGAAACCAACTCTATTCTTTACAAGATCCCCAGTTACTGCAGAGAGTCCCATGCCCTATATTTGTGCTCCCCCAGCCCTTTCCCAGATTGTCCCCACCATAGTGGCCCTTCACCCCCAGCCAGGTGGCACCTCCATGGGCTCCCACTCATGAGCACAAAAGGTTTCTGCTCCCTAGTACTTTACTTCAGGAGATATATCTAGTTAGCAATATTGTTGTAAATTCATAGTAAGTTGCGACTGCAAAGCACTTTCTGTGCTACACTGGTGTCCAAGCTGCAGTAAATGTAAAATGGGTATCCAAAGCAAGGCATTTAAGTGAAATAACTATTATTGATTTCTATATATTCAGTTAAATGTAAGAATTTCTACAGTAGTCATTCCTTTCTGGACCAATAGCCTGTAATTAAAGGAAAAGCCTGCAATTCAATTGTTTGTTGAACCTATCTACTTCAATTATTAAGAACTAAAGCAATTACTTCAACAATATTAAGTATTCTAGATTATGTTCCCATTCACACAAGATTTCAGCATAAATTGGAAAACTGTATAGTTTATGTTCTGTTATCAAAAAAGATCAACTTCTTTTAAGCAGTCTGAAGAGCTCTGAAACAGCACGGCCAAGTACTGATAGCAAGTTTCTAATAGTAGTAAAATGGTTTAAAAGAAAGGAGCCAACAGCAGTAAGAACAAAAGCCCCGTGAAATAGCAGTATCAACAATGCAAAGGAAAAAAAAGTTAAAAATCAAACATTTGTAATCCATGTTATAATAATAAATAGTCTTGTGTAAAAAAGTCTAATTTTTCACACTTGTTCTCTTCAACACTGTTCCCATTTACAACCAGAAAAACCACTTTATCTGCAACTCCAGGCAGATGCTGTTTAAATATCACATGTGATACACTCACAGGAATCTCTCCTATTATTAGGCTACCTCTTTTTCAAATAAGTGGGATATATTTCTGAGCATAACTTTTTAAGGACACATTTGTATCAACTATCTATCACCCTCATCACCCAATGATCCATTCACTTACTGGAAGAACCACAGTATTTTGCTGAAACTACTTGTTCTTTACTCCAAATGTAATTTTTCTTGCTTTAAAACATTTCTTAAAGTATTGGATTTTTTCAATATGACAGAAATAAAAAATCTCATAAAGCTTTTGCTACTTCAATTAAATTTTCAGTTTCCTCAGTAAACAGCCTTGAAAAATTAATTTAAAATGCTGATTGAGCAATGCATCCTTTCTCTGCTTCCCTTCTCTCAGGGATAAGATACCCAACTTAACAAAGCCAGTGGAGTCTTCACTTATTTCATTATTATTCACCCTGCAAAATCTGTTTTTGTATAAGTGAAAATTAATTCTGTTAGGCTCAGAAAGACAATCAGTGGCCTTAACCCTTCTCCACAGGTTTATCCAGAATACAGATGCAGTATTAGGTCTCTGAGCACCTTTCCCACTAAACCCTCCTCAAATTTATTTATTTATTAAATGGAATCGAAATTAAAGGAATGAAATTTGCATTTATATAACACCTTTCATCTGCAGAGGATATCAAAGCACTTCACAAACACTGCACAGAAATCATTTCACAACAGATGAAGGGTGAGCAGCCTCGTGCAGGGAAACCGAGGCAGCGGAACCCGCACCAGTGATTCTGCACCACTGCTTCCCTACCCCTGCCAAATCAAGATCAGCTGGATTTGTCCAAGGGGATCAAACTCGCCTCCTGAATGAGCTGGAAAGGCTTCTTTATTGCCTGCACTACACTTTTACATAATAGTGTTGGGAAAGAAACAAACAAGTTTGACTATTTGGCTCCCCCTGGCAGTGCCACGCAGCTATAAATTAATCTTATCGTAGATCTTATAGCTAAAAAGGGGGCAAGTGAAGCAGTTTGCTGCTCTCATAATAACTTCTGTCTTTGACCACCTTGTGCCAGCTGGAACAGCTGGTGTCAAAGCCAGGATGCCCCCAGCCCAGGGATTGTGGCGCTCAGAGCTGTGCACAAAAACCCAGAGCCTGCTCCTGGGATCAGTCCCTGCACACAACTTGCAGCTTGCAATCAATTAATTAACTCTGAGAATTTATTACAAGACATTTTTAGTCAGAGTTCAAGGGCAGTTGTCACAGCAAAAAATAAAAAACCAGAAGCCACAAAGAGAACAACTGTTTTCACAACTTTGACACCATTAATCATCAATCACAGTCAAATTGGTCTGACAGATCACTCCTACCTCTGGACTGGAAGCCAATAATTTAAACTGTCTCACAGGTCACATCAGTCAGTTCCATCACATTTAATGACAAGTTAAATGACTCTTGTCTTCTAGTCAGTTTTTCCTAGCATGAAATTTCAACCTATTTCTATGCCTCCACACAGCAACTGAACAGCCAGACAAATGAAACACTTGATGCTGAGATATTTGATGCCCAAGACATCTGCTTCTTCCATTTTCCTGCTAATTGAAAGCTGGCCACAGAAATAATTTGTTAAGTGATGAATAAACTCGGGATGCAAGCTCAATTTGTGCCCATTACTTCATTTGGCATATCATGTTCATTTGAAGAACCTGACACACTAAATCAGATGCTCCAATCTAGTGATGGCAGCGACTGCCTCCCTGCCATGCACGTTAAGACACTACAATGCTTTTTAAAAGGTCCATCCTTTTAAAAGGCTGCTGACCCTACCCCAGCCAGGGCCAGCATGGCTGATCATTTCATTGACTCAGAGCTCCCACAGCTGAAATAAAAGGAGGTTTTTTCCCCCCCATCTTTTTCTTCTGATAACAGAATCTCAATAGCCAAATTGCTCTCTTGAACCTTTTCACCTCTTCCACAAGTACCAGTGCCATGGAACAATGTGCTCACCAACATGGGCAATGTTTAGAGTATTGTTGTTTGGTTTTTTTGTCTCATAGTAGCATTTACCATATGTTAATTTATGCAAATTAACTCCTACCACATGGACAACTCTGTCATCACACAGTGCATTATACCTTACTCCTAAAAATTACCAGGGAGCAAACTGCAACAATAGGTTATTACTGAAACAGGCCTCTTCCATCAGGGCAAGTGCAGCAAGATTTCAGAATGTACAACTTCAAACAAAAACCAAACCAAAAGCCCACCTGACACTTCAGTAATGTTATCTGTTAGACAGAACAAGTTATTGATAAACTTTTAAAAGCCTATTATAGTGTCTCCTGCCCAACAAAATATTCAAGTCAACACAGCCAGCAGCAAACACAGAGAAGAACAGAAACAAAACAGAAGCAGCAATGGGAAAAAACATAAAAGCCGTGAGGGAGAAAAAGGACCAAATATTCAATATAGTAAACCAAAGCCCAAACCACAGTCACCTTGAAAAATGTCATTAAACAAGTGAAAACAGCAGAACACCAGCCCTTAAAGCACTGGTACTTAAATATATGCATTTTGTTACTGCTTCTAAGATTGATTATTTTTTTTACATTACTTTTATAGATCCTGCAAGAAACAACATCTGTGTTCCCTCTGCTGGTCCTGCTGGAACAGTGACACTATTTCCAAGACTCCGTGGCCTCCAATGTGAGTTGTTTGAGCAAATATTTTAGTGTTATTTCTCTAAACATCTGGAGGCAGAACTTTCAAAATTATATGCGGCTTGAATAAGAGTTTTGCTCTGATTTCTCTTTCTCGATGGTACAGCCAAACAGCACAAAGTTCTGTCTTTAGTCTCTTCTTGATGAAGAGCACCAAGTGGCCAGAAGGGGAGGCAACAGACTAAATGAAAAGTATTGACTGAACTAATGGATGGAGGAGAAAGGATATTGAGGGCGACAGTAACCAGAGAAAGATGAAGTAAAGCCAAAAGCAGTTGCTGTTGTGGGGTGCAGAGCAGGAAGGAGAATGCTGCTAATGCAGTGCAGCTATTGCAGAGGGGAAGGAGAGCCTGTGAAACAAGTCAATCTGTAGGACAGAACACCAAGCACAGAGAGGCCAGGGGATAAATATTCAAAGCAGTAAAAGCCCAGGAAACAGGAAAGACAAAATTAACCAGTAAGTAGGGGTCATTACCAACATAATCTTCGGGAACTTTTATCAGTAACTCAGAAACACTGACTGGAGTGGAGCAGGACACCCTGCACATACTGGGCAGCAAGAATGAAGAAATGAAGTGTGAAGTCCTCCTTGCTCTGTATGTGACAGAGTAAAACATGGAGCAAGGCTGCTGGCAGACACTGCACAGGTGCACTGGGGGTAAGAGGAGTCAGGGGAAGAGGTTTTAATTTCATGCCTCTGTGTTTCATTACTATTTTGCCATGAGAGCAGGAGTTGAGAACTGGAGCCTCTGTGCAAGGAGACTGGAAATTCTCCCACTTGATTTAAGTAACAAAATATTGAAATAAAACTTTATGAAGACAGAGAAGGAGAAGGCATTGCTCTTCCTGGCAAGGGACACACATGTCTTCATGACACGAGGCATATAGGACATT